AAATTCATTTTTTAATCATGAAAATAATTTTATTTTATGTATGGAATTCTGACATATTATTTGATTTGTATTTTTAAAAAAACTTATAAATGACACTTTTAACCGCGGAGACAGACCGAAGGACCACTCGACCTAACCGAGAGAGATCTACCAATTTTGAAAACCGTCAGAGAACGCCTACTGTTATTCTGAAGAGGCAATCCAATCTACGCCTGACCAAAGTGACGTAGGCAATCAATTTCACGGCGACGAAATCTATGTCGTGGACGGGAGGTAGTATATGGGAAGAAGGAAGTACAGTTTAGTTATCGAGGGGGGGGGGTCTCTGTGGTTGAGTGGCTGGTGGACTTACGCAAGATAACTCTCTGGAGGCTGATCTGGACGACCGTGGCGGCCTCACACACCATTCGTTTGAATGGCTGGCAGACTTACGCAAGACATGGATCACCAATCCGATGTAGGATAACTTCCAGCAACCAGCCGAATGTTAATAATTAATTAAGAATAACTCACGCCGTGTGAGTGTGTATACCTAAAACGTAAGGACAAGTAGGTGACTCGGATAATAAAATGGTAACCAAGGCTGTACGTCAAGTTGCTGTATGTTTTACACGATTTCAATAATAATGGTACAAACACATGATATATTCACAGCGACACAATTGAATGAATTATAATATCAGACGGCCCTTCTGGCCCGTACAGAAGTACATAAATACGTACATAAATATAATGAATATAACAAATTATAAATAAAACTCACAGCACGTCGGTGCTCTGCTGGCCAACCGCTACTTAAAATAGCTACAATCAAAAATAATTGACACACTCGAATACACGATATATTGTAATAATAAATAAATAGTGACGATTAGCGCACACACATAATATAATAAACTTAGCGATTCACGCCTACAAAATACAGTTATTTTCACGTGTTGACACGTAATAACTGAATAAGGAAGACTAAATTATTTTTGCGGCTGTGCAACCGTTGTACACCGGTACTCCAGCGGCGGCCGATAACGCATTAACTTAATTTACATATTATTAACTAAATACTGTAAAAATATTACCTTTGAAATTAGTCGTGTTTCCAAAATATTCAAATTCCTTTTTACACACTAGACACGTTACAACTTTACAGTCAGAAATTTTCCTACAACTTTTCCAAACAACGGAACACCAATTGTTTTCACACTTTCACAGTTTACCTAGATAAAAAATATAGTCTATGGAAAAATGGGCTACTACTACCGGTTTATTGAAATTTTCAAATC